CGGCTGTTCCTTCCGAGTGTATGCTTTGAATCGGCTCGATGTGCTGTTCCTGTCTGGTTGATCATGTTTTCTAAGTAGCTCAAGGAGTTAAAAAGTTGTGTTACCAAATTCTTAGATGTGGTGCTTTGTCGGTTAATTTATTCCTTTGGTATTGATTTTGTGTCCCTACAAATGAAATCATAGCCCTTCATAGTGCCGAAAAGCGTGTCAAGACATGGAATTTAATAACAAAAGTTTCTGTCTTTGTCCACATTATGAACTCTCCTTTCAAATGTTCAGATACTTTGCTTTCTTTTTTCTACATTCCCCCATTTTCACATGGGCTGCTGGAAAGATCTAGATCCATGGACTTATGCCACCTGCCACAGTGCCTATTTTTCCAACCATTTTGTTATTTTTTTTGTTGTTGTTTGTAATTGACTTACCCTTAATCTAGCACATGGTTTTGTCAGCTGTGAAGCTGCTCTGTTTTCTGACTATGGCGTAAATTATGAAAAAAAGGGACATTGAGAAACTCAACAATTAAATGATAATCTATATGTACAAGGTGTTAATTTATGTCTGAGTCGAAAACAAGAACAACAAACGATGAACACATGACAGATTACGGTCTTGGAACATTTGGAGTAAACTAAGATCACGACACAAAACCAGGTGATAGAAACAGGGGCAAGCACTCGACTATTACTGGGGGGGAAATGGAAAAAGAGGTTCATTTGGAGGCATTGGTTTGAGCTTGATCCATGGCTGCAGCAATGCGAGCTTTGATGAAGGCCAACAGTTTGTCTCTGGGAGGCAGACTGCCCTTAACAACGCTGCAGCTCACGAACTCGTCGGTCCATTTGAACAACTCGGGGAATTTCTCAGCTGACAGCAACTCCATCCCTGTGGCTTCTTGGATGAGCCTGAGCCAGTAGCCAATAAAGATGGCAGCAATGTCTACCATTCCGACTGTATCTCCCCCAAAGAATCTCTTTCCACCCAGCGCACTTTCAAGCGTTTTTAGACACTCGCAAGCTTCTTCCACTGGCTTTTCTCGCTCACTCTCTGGGCTCCACCCTGCTTTCCATAGCGCAGGCATACACTACGTGCACACCACAAAAGAACTAAAACAGTGAGACCAGAGCTGATACATCCTACGGTTTCGAGAATAGAAATATTCAGTTCTCATTTAGTGCCCTTGCTTGGTCGTTATGTAAGTTTGAATGGGTCAATTTCAACCCAAATATAAGTATTGCCAGATGATCAGACCTATTTCTGAATCTGAGCTGTTTGAAATCTTAAAATGGGTAGACTAAAAGAGTAGTTAAATGATCAAAGTCTTACCTTCTCATCGACGAACTTAGCCCAGAAACGAGCCATGGCTTTGTCATAAGGATCCTCTGGCAAAATGGGATTGCCCTTCCAGGTTTCCTCAATATATTCAAGTATAACGAGCGACTCAGCAATTGGTTTTCCGTTGTGGAGGAGGACAGGAATTTTTTTGTGAACAGGATTGTATTTCAAAAGCAAAGGGCTCTTGTTTTTAGGGATATCCTCCTCTATGTACTCATATTGAACACCTTTCAGTTGCAAAGCAAGCTCTACCCTGCGGCTATAAGGGCTTCCCCAAGCTCCGAAAACCTTCACTTCTTCAGCCATTATGTAACTTTTTACTTTTCACGTCTTCTGCGCTTGGAAGGATACTTTGGTTTGATGCCACTTATAGAGGGAGGATTTCCTAGTTTTGTTAGGGAGGAAGGCAGGCTTGCTGTCATCATCCTTATTTAATCAGTGACGGTCAAGTGAGAGCAAAGTCGTTGGAACATAGTGGCAAGTCAAAGCAATGAAACATCGAAGAAAGTTCAATTGTGCTAATAGTAAATTAAGATAAGGCATGAGGTAAGATGGTGCGTTAGCTTGAAGACTAAAAAAATGGGCCTTCGGTGCTCTGTTTTCTTGGGATATTCAAGTCCCACCCGCTCGAGTATTGACAGCCAGCCCTTATCAGAACTGTAAAATGCAATAATATATGCTTTGATATTAAAAGTAGAAGCCTACTTGATCTTTATCTGTTTTTTAAAAATAAAAATTTTAAATTTTAAATAAAATATTTTTAAAAATTAAAAAAACTACAAATAAAACCTTTCTCTTTTCTTTTTTTAAAAACATTATCAATTTTTCAAAAAATATTTCACTCGTTCAATCAATCTCCTTCTTTTCTCCCTCTTTCTATAAATCATCTTTTTCCAATACAAAATCATGATCTCTTCCTTCTCTATCTCTCTCTCTCTATAAAGACTATTAAAAAAAATTGAAGACCCAGCAATGAAATAGCAAAATTTAATACTTTTTTATTCTTATAAAAATTAAAAGAAAAAAACTTAAAATTTAAAATTATATTAAGATATTGTTTAAAGGTTTTTTCTCTTCTTCAATAAAAAATATATTATTATTATACAACTTTGAGAGCTGTTTCATGTTTTTATGAATTTTTTTTAACATTTGAAATTATATATAAACACAAAGCATACATGTTTCATTTTAATTTATTAAGTGCTTGAAGATAGCATGAATATTCATTGTAGTAAATTTTATCTAAAATTAAAGCTTATATAATTTATTTTATCAAATAACTTATCAAACAATTTTAACCTAAATTTAAAGTTATTATCTTTTATAAAAACTTCATAGAGGTTGCAAATTGCAGAGAGATTACAACACATAGTGAAGAAAACAGATGCTAGAACAAAGGCATGAGATGATCAAGAACTATTTTTGGCATAAAATCATATGGAAAATGGTTGATTTGGGATAGCATTAGTCTGTCCATCCATCACCAGATAGCCAGTTTTTCATAAAGGCAATCAGCTTATCTCTAGGAGGCAGGTGTTCCTTGACAGGATTGCAGCTTACAAACTCGTCACACCATTTGATCAACGCAGGGCATTTGTCTGCTGTCAGAAACTCTAGTCCTGAAACTTCATGAATGACCCTAAGCCAAAAGGCAATGAAGTTGGCAGCAATGTCAAGCAGTCCGATCGTCTCTCCTCCAAAGAATCTCTTTCCATTGAGTACACTTTCAAGTGTTTTCAGACACTCCCTTACTTCTTCCAGGGCCTTCTCTCGCTCTTCCCCTGTGCCTAAAAGAGCTTTCCACACTGGAGGCATGCACTAAAACACAAACACAAGCAAATAAGAAACCAACAATCCAGATTTATGTTCCACTTACCGAATTTAAAAGCAGTGATTCCAATAATTCACAATTGAATCTTACTTCTTACCTTCTCATCTATGAACCTAGCCCAGAAACGGGCCATGGCTCTTTCATGAGGATCTTCAGGCAAAATGGGATTGTCTTTCCAAGTTTCATCAACGTATTCAAGAATAATAAGAGACTCCAGGATTGGCTTTCCATTGTGCAGGAGCACAGGTACTTTCTTGTGAATTGGATTGTATTTCAGAAGCAAAGGACTCTTAAACTTGTCATCAGAGACATACTCGAAAGGGATACCTTTCAGTTCCAAAGCAATCTCCACTCTACGGCTAAAAGGGCTTCCCCAAGCACCAAACAGCTTCACTTTTTCAGCCATGGGATGTTGCTTCGCACTTCCTCTGCACTTAAACAGGACTAGTGTATCCTTCACCTCTTGCTTAATCAATAGGGTTGTTAGAAACTTTCAGGCAATGAATATAAAATAAATGTCAACGGAGGCAGGAGTGGTTCTAAATATTTAAAACCATAAACTATATGTACTGCTAGCAGAATAAACGTAGATCATGGATTTTTCCTGTTTAAAAATTAAGCTATAATAATTCACTGCCATGTAGGGAAGATGGTGGGTTAGCTTCAAGCTGACGTCCTGTCTTTGTGGGTGAGTTGGGAACGTCAGGTCGACCAGCCCTGCTCAAGGCAAACCAGGTTCCCATCTTCCCAACCCGGAGTTGCTTTGGGTTTTGATTTGGATCCTTAAATGGACCTCTTTGGTCCAATTTGTTTGGGCTTTTCTAGGTTCTTTGATGGCCTAATTTGCAGTACCCATCAGAACCTTTTTTTTTTTTATTTAACTTCTGTTAACTTCATTAATCCTAAAATTTTTTACATCCCAATGTTTATATTTTTCTCTTTCCAAATATGAAAAAAAATATTAATTTTTCTTTTCAGAAAACATTTATGTGCTTTTCAAATGGAGTCTAAAATTTTGTTTCAAAATATTGATTAGGTACAATCCATTATTGTGGTAGTTATTAGTTGTGTAAATGTGAATTAATATATAATAATTATAGCATGAATTCTTTCACTCATACCATACTTTCGAATAATTATATTTTCATTCTTATATTCTTTGAATTTATTAATCAATAATAAAAGCTAAACTTCACCTACACTTTTCGCAGTTTAAACTTTTCTTGTACGATTCTTTTTTCAATTAATATTCTATGAATAACTTTTGCTCCTTTGAGAAATCAAGTTATTAATTTTACCTAATAAAATTACAAAAAATGCTAATTTTGAATTAAAAATATTAATAATTTTGTGTAAGAGCATCAATGATATGATCATCAGCTTGATTGTATGAAAATCTAATCCAACTACTTAATTTTCCAAATTGGTTTTAAGATAGGGTCCAATCTAAATTTGAAATATCTTTTTAGAGATAATGTAAAATGGATTAATATTTGATGCACTGATAATATATAATTTCTATACACAGATAGACCATTGCATTAAATATTTTCTCATAGATAGTTATGGGAATAAGTTTATCTAGGCTTACTTGAATGCTTCTGTTGATTCAAAATTCAAAAGAGAAATTGGGTTCCAAACATTTAACATTCACTTCTTTCATGTAAATGAGTATGTCACCTTTCATATTCAAAGCTCAACACAACCAATAAATAAACATATTCAAAGCTCAACACAACCAATTTCGGCTTCCTTTCTTAAATGGGTTTCTTTCCATTCAAAAATATTTGGGTTTTGGAGCCACAATGCAAAAGAAAATCCTTGAACAAAAAGGAAAAAAAGAGAGAAAAAAGCAAGTGTTTATTCCCCTCCTCAAAGGGTTGGGGATGAAGTCCTTTTTTGTGTGTGTGTGTTTCCCTCTAAGTGGGTTTCAAAACTATATTTGGTATCAGCTGTTGGGGGGAGCCTATCCAAAGCAAAGCAAAATCCTTCAGTTGGAACAACCGCATTATGGGCAAAAGAGACCCCAAAGCCTTGCAAGGAAAGTTAGAACCAAAGTGGGATTATTGGTCAATTATGAGATCTTCACTTCAACTCCAAGTCATTTTCCCAATCACTTTCATTGTTAGTTAATGAGCAAAATGCTTTGATTTGTACGTTGCTTTCCTGCCCATCAAGCATAGAAATGTGCCTAAAATTGTTATACAATGAGGTTGAATTCTTCGTCAAAAAATTATAATAAGACAAACCATAATCATTGATTAATGTTTCATTTATTAAAAATAAAATTTATATCTAAATTTATGTTAAATTTGAAAAAGAGTATTCGAATTTTTTATAATCAATTCGGACACCAACAATTGCCTGCCTTTCTTCGTATTTGATTTTGAATGTTGCCCAAGAGACAAACCATCCCTTACAATGTGGTTGCTATGAGCCGACCATTTTTTCTTTGACATTTTCAATTAATTTTTTTTAAAAAGATAATTCTTTTCTATTGCTCTTATATTATGAAATTATATATATATATATAATAAAATGAAAATAATATTTGTAATTCACATTTAATTCAAATAAAACCCAAAAAGGTTAACTCTGTTGGAATTTCTTTTACTACAATTCACATAGGTTTTTTGACCATTGGAAAAGAAGATTTGACAAGGTTTGATTTTTGAGTTTTGGAAAAGAAGATTCCAATTTTTCACATTTCGAATGGTAAGAGAGTTTGCATGAATCACAGACAAAAGTGGAGCGTGGCCATCATAAAAGTTACCTTCTTTCCTTTATTCAAAAAACCAAAAAAAAAAAAATCAATTAAATTAAGTAATAATATATTTAATGCAATATTTATTAAAGTTCATTAATTATTTTGAAATTAAAATTTTATTCTAAACTCAATTTTTTTATAAATATTTATAATTAAGTTTAAATATTATTAATTTAGTTAAAATGTATATAATTAGATTTTAATAGAATATCTTAAAATTAACGGATATTTTACTGATTTTTATTTTTAAATATAAAATGACAAAAGGGTGGTTAAGTAACTAGAAAGAACTGGGCAATGAAGCAAAATTTGAAAGCTAAAAACCTAGCGTGACTTAGTAACTTGAGAAACATAATGAAGGATTAAGACTTTAACAAGAAGGGTTAGGCATTATATGGATAGATCCGTCGCCTACACGACTCCCCATCAACCTTGCTTTATCATTCAAACAAAAGCCTAGAGATTGATTATTCACCCTTTTATCTGTCTGCTTTAAAACACTAGAATTACAGCAGATTAAATATATGAAAGAAGGGAAAAAGGGAGGGGAAAAACTGGGGTGGTCTTAAATAGTCTCAAGAGGTGAAAGGCTCTCCCAATCATGTGTTTGAGCAAGCCTCAGTAATCATAGCCAGCTTTACTCCACACGTATAAAGAAGCCAAAGCTTCTCACTTTTTCTCTCACAGAGAAAGAAGATAAAAAACCCACACCAAATTTGTTTCTACTTTTTGTTGTTATTTTTACTTCCATTTTGCTTGCCCCACTGAAGTAGACATGGTTGCAACCTTATGGATGACGGAGCATTCACCCACCAAAAGCAAGTAGACTCCACCCAACAACAGCATTACCAGTTCAAGCTTTGTTTGCCTGTGCCAGAGTTAAAAGCTAAAAGCTTTTGGGTTTTGAAATCTGTTAGAAGCTTGTGCTACAGGGGTTTAGAGTCAAATGGGTGTTGCTTGAAGAGGTTAGAGTATAGTGGCATGATTGTTAACAACTCTGTTTTTTGTGCTTCGCCTGGTTTTTTTGAAGAAGAGAAAGCCGAGATGGAGGGTTTCGTTGAGAAAAGCGAGGGCTTTGAAGAGAAAAATGAAAGCTTTGATGAAAATGGGGTTCAAATGGGGACATTTGCCAAGTTGCTTGAAGACAAGGGTCGTGAAAGCAGTTCAAGTTCTGATTTTTTGACATCGGAAACAGCAGGCCATGAGGAGGAACACAGTCACAGTAGTTCTGAGGAGGAGTCGGCTTCAACACCTTCATTGGGTTGGCCAGTACAGAAAAATGCTGAGACAGAAGACTGTAGCAGCAGTAATTGTAGTGAAGATGGAAAGAAACCCCCTTCGGATGATAGGAAATTAGAGAAGCAAGGCTCCACAATTTCAGGTGTTTATTGACTACATTTCTATGAGTATAATTTCCCTTGCTTGAATTACTTTGTTGACTTGTTTGTTTAATGGGGTTATAGAGATTGAGTTGATGAAGGAAAGATTTGCAAAATTGCTGCTTGGAGAAGATATGTCAGGGTGTGGAAACGGTGTTTGCACAGCCTTGGCTATTTCAAATGCCATCACTAATCTTTGTGGTATGTTAACAATCTTTCTTTGTTTCTTTCTTTTAATTTTTTTTTTCTAAGATAGTTTTTATAAATTTGATTTGTCAATGTGAGCATTTGTTTCTAATTTTTGTTGGTTAATCTGGTATTGGCTTGTTGTTTGATGGTTACTTCTCCTTCACTGCCTTAATTTTGCAGCAACCTTATTTGGGCAAGTATGGAGGTTAGAACCGCTACCGCTTGAGAAGAAAGCAATGTGGCGAAGAGAGATGGAATGGTTTCTTTCTGTCAGTGATCACATTGTTGAGTTGATACCCTCGTGGCAGACGTTCCCAGATGGAAGCAAGCTTGAGGTAGAGCTATCTAAACTTTTCCCCCCTTCAAATTGACCATTAATCTCTGAAGCACCCTTGAATTGCCACCCAATACAAGGTGCTAGAATCATTTTCTCTTATCAAAATCTAGAAATCCATTGCAAATACGGTCACATTTCAAAGAGGCATTTGAATGTCCAGATATAAATAAAATTGCTTGAGTAGTTTTATCAAAAGTGTATTCCAGAAATTAGCAAAGTCGGTAACTACTGTGCAGGATGGAAAACATCTCCCGGGTTCTGAAAAGTGACATCAGCAGTTTTTGAATTTTAGTGAACAAGTTCTACCCAAGTGGTGGATTTGTGGTTTACAATGCCATGTGTAGTTTCTGAAGCAATTCAAATGCATTTAATGATGGAATACTCCCTAAGCACACGTATTTAATCATGAGGAAAAATGAACTGCTAAAAGATGAGTTTTACCGGTGCATGGTCTAAAAATATCAATATGTTATTTAAACAATTCCATGGTTCTTTCTTGCTGCGATTTCAGGTCATGACTTGCAGGCCCCGATTGGATCTTTACATTAATCTCCCTGCTTTAAGAAAATTGGACAACATGCTTCTTGTAAGATCCAGCAACTCTTATTGGGGTGTGGAATGATTCTATTAAGAAGTGTATTCTGAATATCACATCATTTTTGCAGGAGATATTAGATAGTTTTGTCGATACAGAGTTCTGGTACGTTGACCAAGGGATTCTAGCCCCAGAGGCAGATGGATCTACCTCTTTCCGAAAGGCCCTTCAGCGCCAAGAAGAAAAATGGTGGCTTCCTGTGCCTCGAGTGCCTCCAGGAGGCCTTCATGAAAATTCAAGAAAGCAGTTGCAGCATAAACGTGACTGCACAAACCAGATCCTAAAAGCTGCCATGGCTATCAACAGCATTACTCTAGCTGACATGGAAGTTCCTGAATCATATTTAGAATCTCTTCCAAAGGTAAGAGAAAGTAAATGTATATTTGGCGTTACATGTTCTAGAAAGTGTTGGTCATTAAATATTTGCTACAAATTTA